ATTCTGCGAAATTTGCCACTGACTTATTCCACCATCTGCTTGACCAACTATCCTTCCTCTAACAAAATCTGACAATTCGAGAGAACCTTAAGTTCTAGGCATGTTTTAGCGCAAGGTAATTAGTGTGCGGACCATTTTCATTTATATAGTGCTCTTTGAACACAAATTAGTTAGCATAAATCAGTTAAATGACGAAAAATTAGGTGTCTATTTACTTGTGACCACTCAGTATATATATAAATATTGTGGCCATAATTTCAATACTTGTAATATATCACCAAAGGTCAAATTTAAGCAACAAACATCGTGAAAACATCTCTGACTCAAGAGTTAGCCAAAATTCAATATTTTTTAATGGACTATGATCAATCCGTGCGTTCAACATTGTGGTCGTTGGTGAATCCCACTTAATATACCAACACGAATATCAGAAGGTAGAACTAGAAGGTGGCATCAAACTTGTAAATTACAGTTTAGGAACAATTCACTTTTTCTTGCAGTAGAAGTAAGAATGAGTAATTGAATGAAAAGATACTCTTTAGCTAGATGTTCAGATCATAAGTTAGAATACTATCACGTCTACCGGTTGAACTAGGAGTTGTTGCGTGGTGCCGTATTTCCTGAAGAAGTGGTTGTGTGGTGCCATATTTCCTGAAGGAATTGTTGTATGGTGCCGTATTCCCTGAAGAAGTTGTTGTATGGTGCCGTATTTCCTGAAGGAGTTGTCGTGTGGTGCCATATTTCCCGAAGGAATTGTTGTATGGTGCCGTATTCCCTGAAGTAATTGTTGTGTGGTGCCGTATTCCCTGAAGGAATTGTTGTGTGGTGCCGTATTCCCTGAAGGAATTGTTGTATGGTGCCGTATTTCCTGAAGGAGTTGTTGTGTGATGCCGTATTTCCTGAAGGAGTTGTCGTGTGGTGCCGTATTTCCTGAAGGAGTGGTTGTGTTGTGGTGGTGCCCGTTGAAACTGATTATTAGTACATGTTTTTTCCTGTATCCTGCTGAGTAGATGAATATATAAATATTATGCTATTTATTTATTTCGACATTTAAAATATCAGGACAGTTATAAACAAATATAGGATAGAAGAAAAAAAAGAGTAAAAAACAATAAACCCAGTCTATGTAAGTAAAACTTTATTATAAAAAGATACAATTGAAAGTTTCAGTTATAAACATTATTACACTATGCATCAGAGGGAGCAAGAGGGCCCAATTGGACGAAAAAAGTGAAGATTCCTAAAGTTGCCAAAGATATAGATAAATATTGCTTTCCTTATCTAGTAATTGGATCTATACTTTCTTTGGACCATCAACTATTTTTTTATTATTTTTAAGGTGAAATATGAGCCAAATATCGTGACAATGGTTACATTGTGTATTTATAAATTGCTAGGTACACCTTAGCATCTTTAAACAAATCTAGTTTTGTAACATAATTTATTTATTGTTCTAAATTTAAATTAATATTTTATATACTTTAGCCGCGATATAATTTTTAACTGTAATTTGTGAGATGGGTTTGTTTGTTTAAATTCGCGCAAAGCTACTAATCTATATTTTGAAGTGATAGATGGAAAGCAGCTAGTCAACACAATCTGTCTCCAACTCTTGAGCCAACTCTTTTGCCAATGAAAAGTGGGATTGATTATTACATTATAACCCCATGGCTGAAAGGGGCGAGGATGTTCAGTGGCGGGATTCGAACCCGCGACCCGCCGATTGCGAGTAGAATGCTCTTATCACTAGGTTATGTCCGGCTCTTCGTGAGTTGGAACTGTTATCTTTTTATAACTTAGATTAGTTAAGTTGCTTTATACTTCATTAGCAATGTACGAAGATTTACTTTCAGTTTTTGCTTAAGTGTGAAGTTACAAATATATTACCAAAACAGATATTACAAGTTGAAGTAAGGAGCCGCAATAAAAGAAGTCATAATATTACGTCTTGTTGACCCTAGCAACATGGCGGATGAATTTTCAGCAGTCTGAGTGGAAAATAATTTTAAAGTTTTAGGCTAGCAACAAAGTGAAGATAGGATCAGTATGTGACGTATAAGCAAGATAGTGTGTTTTTGTGTAGACGTGTTTGTTTGTGAAAACAGTATTACATATCAATTAGGCAACAGCTTCGCACAAAAGCGTGTTAACAGCGTTCCTCTTATAACATTAATACACCAGAACATTAACTTTTCATTAACTGATAAGTGCAATAGCGTTGAATCTACAAAGTGACAGGTATGCCGAGAACACACCAATCAGTCCCCACGTTCCATTTTATATATTTTCTCCATTCGGCTAAGTCTGTCCCATTATATTACCTTTTACGTTATCTACACTCATCTAAATATATTCCAATCTGTCTCATACTGCCTCTCTAATGCGTTGGACTACGTTTTTGAAAATAATTACTATAACCATATGGTTTTATAAACTAGGTAACATCTTCTAATTCTTTAATGTTTTGTCTAGGAACTGCGCATAAATGTTTTGATTGGTTTACCAAGGCTTGGATAACTTTTTTCTTTTGGGATGTCGGAATATTAGTATCAACATTTAAAAACGCTAAAGTTCAAAAGTAAATTGGATAAAAAGGTTTTTCGAATTCAGGTAGAAACACAAATTATCAATATCATCGTGTTAAAAACAGAAAAAAAAAGGTCATCCACATATTTTCGCCAGAAGTTTAAAGCTGAAGTTTTGACATGTTCCACAACCAACTGCAATCGGAGTTGAGACATAGTCCGTACAGTTACATGTAGTTGTTTCTACGTAGCGTATCTGAAGGAGATGGTGATGACTTCTAAACAACGCTTATGATGATCACATAACTTTGACATTGAGAGTGAAGTATGGTAGCGTAAAATATTATCTAATTTTAACCTTTATTTCGTAGAGTAGCGAAACAATATAACACCACGTAAAGCCATCAGATCAGACATAGCTAGATTCTACAATTCACAAAGCGTGTATCCAGGATTTTTAATAAGAAAAACAGAAGCAGTAATTAATGGTTCTAAAATGTCAACAAAAAGTGTTTAAATAAAGCATAGGAAGGAAAGTGAATAAATGATATAATGGAGTGAATAAAACCGAGGTTTAGTGGATCTTATGAAGAATAATGGAATTTGTCCATCAATTATTATCAGGAGACAAAGGATTTATTTTCGGAAATATGATAAAACCTTTAAGGACTTAGAGCTTTGGTTTACCTCTCTATCAATTCTGCCAATAACATTTGTGTTTAAGAATGCATAATGTACATTTTTACTCTTTATACAGTTCAACTGAGTCAGTAGTTTTATTTCTTTTATAACTGATAATATTCTTTTTAGAAGTTTTCATAATCACTTTGTGATTGATAATATTGTTTTCATAAATGATCGTTTGTTTGTTTTCTGTTAAGCACAAAACCACACAATGGGTTACCTGTGCTGTGCCCACCACCGGTATCGAAGCCCGAATTTTAGCATTATAGGTCCACAATGTTACAGATAAACCACTGGGGGCCTTTCAAACAATAATATTTCTTACATAGATAATAATCTTGTTTTTATAACTGATAATATTTATTTTATAAATGATAACATTTATTTTATAAATGATAATATTATATTATAACTAATAATATTTATTTTATAAATTACAATATTATTTTTATAATTCATAATATTTCTTTTATAACTGATAATATTATATTATAACTGATAATATTTATTTTATAAATTACAATATTAGTTTTGTAATTGATACTATTTATTTTGTAAGTGTTCTTGCCTAGACATCACCTTTGACAGCTTGTAAAGTTAAATGATTGGTTCATCCTTTTTATGTATGTGATTTACCATAGAATACAGTTTGACCAATTTGAAGTTTTATTCAGAAGATTGGACCATTGTCAAAATTATAATAATCAGAAGTGTTATTGATTTATGTTTAACTTATATGTCACACCAAGCGTACCAATTATTGAAAAAAAAAACAATTCAATCGTCAGTAAGATATAGAGAAATGTTCTATAAACAACAAATAGAAAAAAAGTTAAAGTAATATTATCGTACATATAACTATGACGAAACCACCAACTCATAGAGCAACGTAATAATGCTATTGTTGTAATTTAAAATATAGTTTGCATTAAGTACTGAAGAACCTAGTGTGGCATGTAACAAGAAACTATGAGTTCTGTTTAAAAAAGTGTATTTGTTTGTTCAGTTGATGATCAGTAAAACTTGGATAGTTTGTGTTAAGTACTGAGGAACCTAGTGTGACATGCAACAAGAAACTACGAGTTCTGTTTAAAAAAGTGTATTTGTTTGTTCAGTTGATGATCAATAAAACTTGGATAGTTTGTGTTAAGTACCGAGGAACCTAGTGTGGCATGTAACAAGAATCTACGAGTTCTGTTTCAAAAAGTGTATTTGTTTGTTCAGTTGATGATCAGTAAAACTTGGATAGTTTGTATTAAGTACTGAGGAACCTAGTGTGGCATGTAACAAGAAACTACGAGTTCTGTTTCAAAAAGTGTATTTGTTTGTTCAGTTGATGATCAGTAAAACTTGGAAAGTCAATGGCAAGGCCTGATATTTTAGTAGGAGAAATTAACTTAACATGCCGGATGAGCTTTAAGATTTTGTTTGCAATAATTAGACTTATTTGTATTTTACTTTGTATAGAAGAGCACGTTAATATATCATTTGGCATTACAGACTTTTATTTTATGAAGCTTATATTCAAAGGTTGTCGTTTTTCCAATTTTTTAAAACATAATTATCGAAACGTGGAGAAAACTCAAGAACACATAACAGACTTCTTATTGGGCAGTAACGAGAGTGATGTTAAATATATGAATACTTGATACTCGTTACAAAACGTTCGTTTAACAAGATTTGTTAGCTTAAGCAATTTTTCAAGAGACATGTTTGAAGCTTTGATAAAAATATGTATTTTAAAAACTGTTTAAGAAACATGCATGTTATACAACATGTTTTTGTTTTTAGGTTCTGCCCAGGGAAGACATGAACGACGACTTTTGAACCAGCTTCTCAAGAACTACAACGCTATGGAACGACCTGTAGCGAATGAATCAGAACCTCTAATACTTAGTTTTGGGCTTACTCTACAACAGCTGATAGATGTGGTACGAATTTTTATTGCTATAATTTATTTTATGGTAAATATCATAATAACACTTCCTTCCGCCTAAAAAAATGTTCCGAATACGAAACAAACATTTCCTAAAAATGTTAGTTCAATGAGAATTATAAGATCTGAAACGAGATGATGAAAAAAAAAAGGTTCATAGCGTCTCCTAAAGGCAAATTATTTCAACCAATATATATATACGTGTCATTGGCCTAAAGAATCATATCAAAGGACGACTGGCAAGATCAATGATGAAAAATTAATATCAGAATTAATATTCAAGTAGTGAACTGAAATATATAACATATATTAAAACATATTGAATTTTTTAAAAACAATTTCAGTTCAACAGGGTTAAAAGAAACAAAATGGCGAATGTATACATTTTGATTGGACAGGGAACTGCTCTGCATAAAAATATTTCTGTATATACAAATAAGATGATTATACTTTAGCATACTTACTTGACCACTGTTACTAAAGGATAATTTTATGTAGATATTGATTCTACTTGAAAGCTTTGACGTCTAATGGCATTATTTCGGAAAAAGGAACAACGTATTGATGAAAAGAGTGGCAAAGAAAAATCTGCGGAATTTCCTCCTTATTTACTCTAATACCAGGTCTACAGTTCAGAGTGTTTAAGCTAGCTTTAACATAAACACATTTTCAATCAGTGCTTCATGATGAGTAACAATAATATATATAAGCAATACGATTTGTTTGTTAGTTGTAAAGCACAGAGCTACACAATAGACTATCTGTGCTCTGTCCACCGCGGGTATCGACACCCAAGTTTAGCGTTGTAAGCCCATTGACTTACCGATGAGCCTCCTGGAGGCAATACGAGTCGAGTAGAGTCGAAAATCGGGGATCAAATGTCAAGAAATACTTATGTGAGCTTAACGATGTTACGAATTTGATATAAAACGTTAATGTAGACTATTTAATGTTTCTTCAAATGAAATGAAATTCGCTTCATGCTTTATAGATAATCTACGCATATTATGATTACATCTGATACCTTGATTTTTTACACCTTATTTCTGAAAACACAGGAAGGGTAAAAAATACCAGATTTTTCTCATTATTTAATATAATGTCAAATACACAGTTTCTAATGTTGTAACCAGTTTTTCACACACAAACAAAAATTTCTACATAAATACTTCATGACATAAAATATCTAAGCGATACAATATGAGAAGGGGTGAAATAAGGTCTTAAATGTCAAGAAATCCATTATGTTCACATGAATTTCTTGACTTTTAAACCCATGCTTCACCCTTCTCAACTTGTCTTGCTTAGATATTTTATTATCTCATAACTTACTGTATGAATATTTTTTAAAAAGCTAGTTAAAAGATGTTAAAACTCCAATGTTTTTGCTTTTTGAGTAGTAATTTTGTTTTTCAGAAATAATATGTAAAAAATTCAAACTATAAATAAAATCACAATGGGCATAAATATTATCTTATAGCTAGTAATACATGTTAAAATGACTGTTTTACATTTATATTATTTGCATATACAAAAAAATATTTGTGTGCACAACAACAGCCATCTTTAGACAAAATATGAACATTCACAGTTTTACCTCTCTTTCATTGATATACTATTTGAATTCTAAATTTGATGCTCACTTTTCGGCACACATTTTGCCAGCCCTCCTTTATCATTGTGAGGTTTGTTGATGTCTTTGGATAATTCGGTATTTGAAAAAAAATTTAACTAATATTGAGAAGCCTCTAATCCAAGGTAACAAGATATTATAAGCTTTATTCGTTTAGAGACGATTTAAAGTCAATATAGTTAACAGATTGTGATAGTGAAAAATGACTAAAATATTTGTTAGCCTCTCGCATGCGAAAGACTGTACAACGAGATTTGGAGTGTGTATGAAATAATTAGATGTAAAATACTTAATTATAACAATATAAAATACAATTTAACACAATTTAAATGTTATTCAAGAATTTGTCAGAAAGCATTCTTCATTAGAAATCCCTATTTCTGTCATCATACATGTCAGTAATTATTTTTCATGTGAATTTAAAGAACAGATAGAGCTTAAATTGAAAATAATATACAGATTACCATATACTGCAGAACTATGAACCGTTATCTTAAAAGCCAATAGTAACCGCTGCCTTTTGGCAAATTTGTGTAGCCCACATTTATGCAGTTAGTTAAATTTACTTTAAAGTGTACAAATATTTAGTTGAATAGTTTATAATTATGTTACTTTAAATTATGTTGTTTAGTTGCTTCCTAAATTTTTTATTTGACCTTAACCTTTGAAATGTAAATGCTAATATTTTGTTTCGTTCGAAGTAAAGGTTTTAAAAATACAATTTTATGTCGACTATAAAAAAAAAGGCTCAAGCACTCAAAAAAAAAGTGTCATAGGTTCGTTCTTAAGATATCATGATAATAAATAAATTATCCAAAAGACATACTAATCTGGGTTATGAACTGTGATTGAGATATGAGTGGTTTGTTGTGTATAAGGCACTAGAAACTTATTGATATTTAAATAGTGCAGCGTAACAAGTAATTACAATAATTCAAATAAAGTTTTTTACATTGACTTCGTCATGGGACGTGGCTGTAAAATATTTAAAAAAGTTTGGTTAGATTAAGCTAAAATATGTGAACCTTTACAGTGGATTAGATTTTCGGATTAGTTGAGGTTGTCAACTGTTTTATAAATTTTCTTAACTATCTTGCATATCAGTGCATGAAGTAGTGAGAAAAATAGGGGTTTCTTAAGAGCTTCTAGAAAATTAAAGTTTGTCAGGTTTTTGAAGATTACGAAAGGTTCTTACAATAATTAGCAGATTAGAAATAATTAATATATGGAGTAACTGATTGGAGTGTTTCCAAACCATGATAGGTGATTTTGAACGACTGAAATAATATAAATAACTATTTTAGAAAGTTTATAAATATAAATAGTTTCTGAAAGTGAAAGAAAGAAGTGGAGTTTCGGAGAAACATGAAATATATCACAAAACGCATATTAAAATCAATCTGAGTATTGAAGGTGGTTGAAAAGTAAAATGGTAACATAATATGTCTGTTAAATTAGTTTCGAGTTGAGTGTTAAATCGGTTGAGTACTTTAATATAGAAGTTGGCTGAGATTTATAAAAGTTATCACAGGATGTCTTTTAGATTCGATTTAGGCGGTGAAGCATTGAAGATGGCTTAGTTATACAGACTTTAACATAAAACAATATTAAGTTCTGGGATTGAGACATTCCCAGACTGAATGTCCATTGTAATGAACTAAAATCGAAAATATAGGAATATGAATAAACTTGGGATACCAGTACCATCCAGAAAGAAAATTTGGAATGTAACTTTTACCTGATGACAACACGATACTTTTGGTCGAAATATCACAGCTTCTTTAAGAAAAGTGCAGCGTCTTGTAACAGATGAGAACCCACAAACATAACGTGTAAAAAGCTGTCCACTTGCCCTAGACAAAAGTATACAACATAATTAAGAAGGATCTCCGTGTATAAGAGCGACACAGTCAATTGTAAACAAGTTTCTTCCACGACATAATAATTCAGCCGTTGATTACTTCAACTAGCTGAAAAATGGATATTCCGTACGAGGTCATAATCATCAAGTTACTGGATCTAACTCCTTTGGATTTTTGTGCAATCCGACAGTTCAAACAGGCATTAAGAAACCGTCGTTTCCGCACACTAGATAGATTATGGAAACCGTGCAGGAAGGTGAGGTGTGCTTTGAACATTACAGCCATACGAAGGAGTCTTTTGCAATATAAACTACATATTTTGGATATTTTCAAGGTGCAAGGTCGTTAGACAGAACATGAGCGGCCGTGGCGACTTAGACTGTAAATGGTTTTAGTATAATGTACTGCACCTCTGTATAAAGTATCTGATAATTATAAATGTAATCACAAAAACTCTTTTAGGTTCTCTAGAAGTAGTGAAGTTGAAGATTGTTGAGAATTTTAAAGATGGCCACAGAAGAACGTTAGTAGACTACGACTAAATACAAGTACCAGTACGATAGATTTAGTAGTTCGGGTTATATCAATTATAAAGAGGAATGAAAGTGTTTGAAAATATGGTGTTGCGTTTTTTGGTTTGTTTTTGCAACACAACAAGTTGTGATTTTTAGAACAACTAATAATATTTATTAAAGGAATTACCGGACAGCAAACAAATTAAAATTAAATCAACATTAAGACTTTTCTACATAGGATATGCTCATTAGTCTAATTATTTAGCCTTATTAGTATCAGAAACAGATATATATATATATATAATACCTATAAAATGCGGAGTTTGATCTTTTAAAAAACAAGACATCTGATGAAGGAGAACCTATGATGATAATTATTTTACGGTTTTTTCTAACATTTCCTAAACGTTTTCATTCTGCAAAAGAAAATTTTGAATGTAACTTTTACCTGATGACAACACGTTACTATTGGTCGAAATGTAATAATCAAAATCAGTTGGCTTTCTGTAAAAGTTGCTGTTATTGTATTTTTGAATAATTAAGACTGAAGCTTTGCACTTGTTAAATTGATAACAACGTAATTTTTTAAATGTTAAGAGAAAAAAATTATTAGAAAAATGTTAGAAAACAAAAAAGAAACATAAAGATAATGAAATAATCTAGAAGCAAAATACAAATCAAAAAATTCTGTAAGATACTGCTTATTATGGGATTATCTTAGGAAGTTTGATAATAACTAACAAGTGCATTTTGTCATATTAATCAAAAGGAAGAAGAATTAGGTTAATAACTAACAGGTGTGTGTTAGCATATTTTCATATTAAAACTAGCAGATAATGTTAGACATTTATATATTGAATTACGTTTAGGTCTAATGCAAATACAAATCAACTATACCCTAGTAACATTCATGAGAGCTGTTGCCTTAGTTACAGAGCCCACACTATGGCAAAAGGAGCGTTAAGAAACAATTTCTCTTACCAATGATTACTTATTGGTGAAAAGAGAAAACACACAC